TAGCCGTGCGCGGGGGACCCGAGGTCCGGGGCGCTATACCGGGGGCCGGGCCGGGGAGCGGGAGGCGCTGTGCGCGGGGAACCTGGGAGCGGGGGACGCCGTGTGCGGGTCCGGGGGCAATGTGAGGTAAGGTTAGGTCGGGCTGGGAGCCGCGGGAGCTGTATGCGGGGGGACTGGGCGCAAAGTGCGCGGGGCCGGACAGCAAGCCGGGGTGGGGTTGGGGGTCCTGGGCGCGGGTGCCGGGGGTGTTGTGCACTGGAGGACCAGGGCGCACAGGGGCCTGGAGGCACCGGGTGGCCGAGCGGCTTCCCAAGCCCTGTACTCTTCTGACCCGGCTCCTGAGGGTTGCTGTGGGCCAGGTTCCTGGGGCAACGGCTGCCTAGTGCAGTCTCTGCTTCTGCAGAGCCAGGAAGTGTATACACGTCTCCCTCACCGCCGCCCCCATGAGACCAGTGGTCTGTGTTGTGGGCCATGTGGAGCTCGGGGGGCCTTAGGGCTGTGCTGTCTGATAAGGTAGTACTAGCCGTGTATGGCTATTTAGATTTACATGAAATACGGTTATGAGTTTGGCTCCTCCCTGGCATGGCGGTGTTTCAAGGTCTCCACGTGTGGGGGGGCTACTGTGTGGCTAGTGGCAACTACTGGTCCGAGTGGATATTCCATCATCGCAGAAAGTGCTGTCTTAAGCCTGGAGGCCCCACTGTTGAGCTGGTGAGTGCTGGGGCCGTAGCAGGGATCTGGCCTGCTCCCCATCCCGCCTTGCAGGGTCCTGTCCGGAGGCCTGGGCCCAGAGGAGAGGGCTGCACACCAGGGAGGCTTCAAGATCCACCAGAAGCCATGGAATGAGAGGGGCCACCAAGATGGTGCTGTTACCATGATGTAAGAATTCACAGTTTCGGGGAGAAGGGGCTCTGGGGCCTGGAAGGGCATCCAGGAGCCTCACACACCGCTCTCCTCTGCTCCATCGTCGTGTGGGACAGACGCTGCACCCAGCCAGGCATCATCCCCAAGTAGCCTTTAATCCTCTGGACTCTGTCCCTGTCTGTAACCCATGTGATGGCGCCCGCCTTCCTTCCTGGGAGCGGGGGAGGGGTGGGAGGAATGGTTGGCTGGGAGGGAGGACCAGGTCCACCCATGTGGAGCACGTGCACTGAAGCATTGCTTTAATTTTCCCTTGGGTCCTCTTAGCTGGGGTAACACAACCCCAACCCCCCCAGGAATCCCAGGGCTCCTGCAGTCACCTGGGCGAGGAGGTCAGTTCTACATCTAAGACTCAAAAGAGGAGAGAGCTGGGGTCTAATTGGTCCTCTCTGAGTTCACGTGGCCCAGTGCCTGCCTACGTGGTGGGGTTCCTGAGGTGCCAAGGGCAGAGGGTTTTAGATTGTATTCCCAGTCTTAGGAGCTTCTCTGAGCCCCTTCCTCGAGGCCAGTTGGTTCGGGCTAGAGGAACATCAGGATTGCACGTGGGTACCCACACTAGCCTGCCCTCGTCCCCTCATGACCAACCACCTGTGCCCTCAGAAGCCATCAAGGGCTTCTTGTCTTCCTGGTTCCCTGGTCTTGGGGAAGCAGGGGTTTCATCTCATCCCTTCTCTGCTGGAGGGCCCTGCGTATCTCCCCAAGGCCAATTCTGCACATAGGACGGGTGGAGTGGGGCAACCTTGCTGGTCCACAGCTGTTAACCCCTCTCCTCCCAGGGTGGGGGTGCCTGCTACCCCACATTTATGTAAGGAACCAACATAAGCCAGTTTTAGAGCAAACACCTCTGTTTTGCAGGACTAAAGCCGGCCCACTAAGGCACCTTGTGAACTGTGAGGCCCACAGGTGGAGGGCTGTGGTTGTCCTCAGTTTCCACCCTGTCTCTGTCCTGCAGGGGACAGTGCCTTCAGCACAGTGCCAAGGCCCTTCCCCATAGCCGGTCTGGCTGCCCTCTCTTACCCTGCAGCAGGGGGCTGCATTACACTCCAGCCCTCCGGAAAGCTGGAAAGCCGCTGTCCAGGGGAGCAGGGCTGGGAGCAGCTGCAATGCACTTCTCCCCTCTCCCCACGTGACCTGACCCAGGGAGAGGAAGGTGGAATTGGGGCTCTCAGAGGCTGGGGTTTCTCCCACAGGAATTGCCATACTCCAGTCTTCTGGTGATCCAATCCTAGCTGGCTTGGGTGGGCTGGAGCAGTCAACATTGCCTACACCCAGCCTTCCCCTAATGCTCATGGACTGGCACCACCATTCAGGTGCACTGTGCCAGGGAGGGGACGGGTCCCTGCCGCCCCTGCTGGGAGGTGCACGTGGAGGCAGGCAGAGAACTTGGCCTCTAGTAAGAGCTTCTCAAACAGAACTGGTGGGTAAAACACTGATGTGGCCCACAGAGGTCTTTCAACCTGGCTCAGCTCTGTGGCCTTGCACCTTCGTTATCCAGAGCCAGGTCAGCCAGACGGGCTGGCGGCGGGGTGGGGTGGGGGCTCCCATGAAAGGTGCCGTGAGCATGCTGGGTAAAAACTTGGACTCCGGTCCTGGTAGACTGCTCGGCTCACCTCCAAGTCACTGTAGCCTCGCCTACCGAGCGGACACGGTGGCAGTAGCCCCTGTATGGAAGGGGGTGATGGCAAGGCGACATGAGCTCTGAGCGGCTTGGAGAGTGAGGCAGCCCACAAGCCCTGCACAGAGGTGTTAGGTGGTGACTCGGCTGCAGTGAGCTACAGGCAGGTCATGACAGGCTGCAGCACATGGGGGCGGGAGCTGCTGACTGGTGATATTGCCAGGGGCTGGGTGCCCACCTCCAAGGTGTGGTATATGCTTGCAGCCAGGGACCAACAAAGGGTGTCACTCCTGTCACAGTCAGACCCAGGTGTAGGTGTAATGGGGGGGCGGGGAGGGGGCCCCTTTCATGGCCATCCCAGTGCCTCACAAAGTGTGAGTTTCCCATCCCCACAACTTTGGGCTCTGCTGGGTCAGAGGATTTGTTCCCAGGTATGCTGCTTCTACCAAGGACACAGGTGTCCCCCTGGATGGCAGGCTGAGACACCACCTGACCATTCTGGGCTCCTCAGGCCACAGAGGCAACAGGCAAATCCGGGGCTGCTGGGCTGGGTGGAGTGCCTGGTCCTGACTCTGAAGGAGCAGCTGGGCTTTGCTGCCACTCAGTGGGGCCAGGAGGAGTATGCTGAGCTTGGGACATTCTCCTGATGCCCTCGGTACTCCCCGCTGAGGACGAGGTGAGGGAGGCCACAGCCCCAGTGCAGACAGGGCCACTCAGGGCCCTTCAGAATGGAGGCTCAAATCACCTCACCAGGAAAAGACCAGGACCAGCGAGGTGCTGGCTGAGGAGAAGAACATGAAATGAGTAGTGGGGAGCGGAAATATTAAACACTAATTATGATATTTCATTAATTACCTTGATATGTATTTGGCAGCATATATTAACCGGGGGCTGTATTATCTGTAATTTATATTGTACCCCAGTTTCCCCCCTTTTTTCCCTCCTATCTTATTTCAGAGGTGTTGATGGTGATTAATTTTCTGGTACAGTCTTTAGACCATAGGATCCAGGTGAGGTGTGCCTGAACCAAAAGAGGAGTCGACACGCTCAGACGCACAGGTGGTCAGTGCATCTTCGACACGAGGGTGGCTGTGGGATGTGAGGCCGGGGCTCAGTGCTGTTGTGGAAACTGGGAGGTCAGTAAGGTCGGAGGTGGGCGCAGGCGCTAGGCTGTGGTCAGGCAGCCTCACAGCCCGGCCTGTGTTGCAGCAGTTACCGGTCTGGATTCTGCGCCAGATTCTGAGAGGCGACCAGTGTGGCGTCTGGGAAAAGCCCTGTGGGCTCCAACAGTGGCAGGCACGAGGCTTTGCCGGCAGTGTTGGTGTCCTCCAGCAGTAGCCACATCAGAGTGGCAGGCGGCCACGACTGGGGTCGGGGGGTCTCCATGACTCCCATACCTTCCCAGGCCTTGCCCTCTGTATTAAAGACCTTTCTGCCTAAAATTCCTCACGTGGCTTGGATTTTCCTGACCAAGCCCTGTCTGGTAAAGCTGCTGACCAAGGAAGGAACGCTTCCAGTCCCCTCTTCAGTGGACACACTCCCGCCGAACTGTCAAACGGGACAGAAACGCGCAGCCTTTCAGGAAGAATCGGAAAATGAAAACTGTGTGCGACAGTAAGGAAGGAGGAGAAAGACCTCCTCCAGTCAGCGCTTCAACTACCTCCAACTCCATGCACCCTGCACTGGGGGCTGGGTGCTCTCCAAGGGCTGGAGGACTAGGGCTCATTCTGGAGCTCATCTCCTCCAGATCCGGAGTACGGTCCCGAGGGCTCCCCGGACAGGCGGGGCAGGGACTGCAAGGCCCCCTCGTACTTCTGCAGCTGAGACCAGAAACCCGGGTTGGGCTCGGCCACCGGGCGCGCGCTCTTCACGGCCTGCGTACGAAAAGCAGAGGCTGACCGCAGCGCCTCAAGGTGCTCCGCGCCCCTAACGCCGGGAGGCCCGCCCACCTGGGAGGCCCGCCCACCTGGGAGGCCCGCCCCACCTGGAAGGCCCGCGCCAGGCTGAGGCCGCGGTGCCGCATGAGGTAGGCGGTGCAGACGGCGGCCGAGCGGCTGCGGCCGTTCTTGCAGTAGACCAGGCAGGCGCCGCCGGCGCGCACCGCAGCCTCCATGGCGGCGCAGGTGGGCTCCAGGTGCGCCAGCAGGTCCTCGGCCGGGTCGTCGAACACGGGCACGCGCAGCTCGGCCACGCCGGGCGCGCACGGG